CATGACGAACTGATAGAAACATGACCCCAAAATGCTTTGAGTAGAACTGATGTTTTTATAAAGGGTGTACATTTCTACCACTCTCTACGATACTTTATTTTTCGAATTAAGTATTGTTTTCGTGACTTCCAGTAAATCAGTAGTATGAAATGTATTCACACAATTTCGTTTAAGGTCATGAAGGACTGGTGGAAGCGTTTCCCCAAAATGATTCAAGTAGTTCTGACGTTTCCATTCAATTTCACATAGCTTTGCTTTCGCTAAAGTTGTTCTCATCCAGACAGAAGTGGTCTGCAGGTCAGACCTCGCATTCGTCTTACCAACACCCCCAGCGGGAGTCGAACCGTGACAGCGCAGAATGGTAGCCTGACACGTTAACCACTCGGTCATATTGTCACGAGTGCCATTTGGGTGACAGGGCAGATGTGAATTTGTAGGAAGGCCAGGCCTTTTGTCATATCACATTGTTTTGGTGGAATTGTCGATGAAGCAAACGTATCTTTTGCTATTAAAATCGACTACGTTACTTATTTTTCGCATGTAAGCATCGTTTCGAGTGCTTCATCACCTCAAACGAAATTGTGTGAATACTTCTCATATTACATCTCACGGCTCCGTAACGTCAACTGTACATTTCATACCTCTTCTGCCGCACCATCCAATCCCTCAGCGTCACTTTTCAACTTCTCTTCTCATCATTTCACACAACATTTGCTCGATTCCGTCAACTCGCCCTCAAGCGGACACAAATGCCAACTCATTCGTCGACTCGAAACGGTACATCGTCTTCATTCGCAAACTCCGCGTAGCACCCACTTCTTTTCACCACTTTCACTATCCTCCCTCCAGCTCCCCTCCTCGGCCGCTGTCCTCTTCTTTTGCTTCATCCCCCCTCTTCCCTCCAACATCAACTTCTCACTCCAGCTTCGATCTTCACTATTCTCAGTCACCATATCGGCCTCTTCCCTTCGCGACAACTCGCCACGGAAACTGTGGATGCCCCATTTGCCATTCTGACCACGAATTCGTCCGGCCTCACTCCTTCCAGCCGCTCTTCGCCCGGCCTCGCACCCCCCCAACGCG